AAGTCGGTCGAGAGTGCTCAGAATAGCACAAAACTCATGACACCGCGACGGAACGCAACAGAGGACACATGAAGCTCCAAGTCCATTGTTGCAACTCGTATTTGATCAATGGAAAAAACTATATGGTGCGTCATTCAAACACACATACAAACTCATCATCCCCGTCAACTTTCACTTTGGTTTTAAGAGGGGGTGACATCAGATTTAGTGGGATGAATGCACAGTTGGTGAGTGAAAAGAGTCAGTTTAATCAGTGGGTAAATGATACAAGATTCAGTAGACGACGAACAGCATGTTTAGGCCGTAAATGGTACGCTGAAGTTACATTAAATTTAACTGAAAGTCAGTGATAACCGAAAAACCTTGACCGTATCAATCAGTAAAACCGCAATCAATTGACATTAGGCGAGAAGACAGCGGTCTCTATGTAGCTGCTGCTCGACCTCGATCTTTTACATCTGTGTATGTATTAGTGCGACTGAGTCCTTCGTGAGCTCTCTATTTTTCTCCATGGATGACTTGTTGGGTTGTTACAGACAGCAACCAAAACCGAGAGAGGAGAGTGGAAGCATTAACAGATGCCTGAACTTAAATGAACTGAATACCAAGAATCGAGGTTCCGACAGCTGCGTCGAAAACAGACTACAGAAATGCTATTGAAAGCAAACATGGGGGTCCACTGTTGATACTATCACCAATAAGTGATTGAATACTTGTTTGGATTGAACCTTAAGCCAGGCAGAAGAATGATTGAAGGTTTACACAACTTCCTAACATGTTCCCGCGAGGAAAATGCTCGATAACAATGTCATGCATATGAACATGGCCTGATCGATGCAGAATAAGAAAATCGAAATTCAGTTACCTGTGGTAGAAATTAAGATATTGCTACAAAGCCTCCAAGAATAGCGACACAGTATGAATTTGAGGAATCGCACTGATTTACTCGTTAATTGGTTCTCCTGGGTCTGGAACACTGCAGAGCCGTCCTGTTTCAGAGCAAAGCAGATTGGTTGTTACTCAGCTTATAGCGGGACCGTAACAATGTGCCTTAGAAAATGTAGTTTGATTCTGTATAGTTAGGGCTTCGGTATTCTTTACCAATTACTGGAATGATTACCTGAACTGGACTTGCAACAACAATAATAATAAACACTTCCAGAAAACAAAGTGAAGGGATAATTAATTTATGTTTGACATGGGTCAATCAAGAAACCCCATTACTTTCGGAGAGGTTGATTTGTTTTGTTCATGTGCCACTTATGAACCGCAATGCCTGGCGTACCACTGACCCTGTATTTTGTCTCTCCCCATTTCGTCGAATGTAGTACCTGAATCAACTATCTTGAACAAATAACGCTGGAAGAGGGATGTAGGACAGAATTAATCGTTTTCTACTTCGAGTAATCAAAAATACATTATTTAGGTCGTATTTTCACGGTGACCAGAGTCAGATTCTTTTATTCAACACTTCTAAAGATATCCTGACATTGAAAGGCATATTGCATGAGACATAACAAACTGTTATTTGGAAGCCAAAATTTCAATAGTTCAGATGCCCTTTGTCAGAAATAATGAAAACAGACGGATGAAAGAAAACGAACAATTGTAGACTACTCAACCACATTATAAATGAGTAACACTTAAGCATTGCGTATGTGCTGGTGAGTCAATTGAAGAATAGTCCAACACCTACTTCTTTGGCTAATGTGATTACTTCCAGTTGGAAATTGACTTTGAGCTTCAGGACGGTGACTGTCTGGGTTTCACCTTCTTTTGTTGCAATCCTGGCACGAGTTGGCTCAATGTTGAATATACGACCGAGTGTATGATCATGTTTCTGTTGAACTTTACGAGCCCAATCATCGAACAGCTCCGTAGTATTTAGTTTCGCTTTAAAGCTTTCCCCGTCTGCTTTGAGTAGCTGGCCGTCTCTGTGATGCTCCCATCCTTTACCTGTAGGGAAGTAGATTTGAGTGATTTGTTTGTATTACGATCAGAATTACATTGTCACTTTTCGAAGTGAATAGAAGACGTGATCAAAATAAAACAGAAAAATTGCAACATCGACCCTGTCCGACGTACGATGATCGCGTTATTTTTAATTGCTTCTAAACGCAGACTATGCATGGGGAAAATGCAGACAGACCATCGAATAAGAAAAAATTGAAGCACTGGGTCCCCTTGATCCATTTCATCAATATAAAAAGAAGACAATTGTCACGAGATGTTAAAATCTCGTTTAATATTCTCAATCGCTTAACCAAAACAAACAAGCATATATATGACACATGGGATTGTCCAATTACGGTGAATGAACGTGTACAAGCATACAAAGATTACTAAACATAGAAGTAGGGGGTCAACCCCACGGTAAGTGGATTGATTGTATCAAAAACAAATAGTGAAGCGCTGCTCATTCGATTACATCACCCGATCTTATGCGCACAAACGATCCAAAACGGATGTCTTAGACAAAATAGAAGTGGACAGTTGAGCGTAGTTATGAAGACAGGAACCACTGTCATAACAAATAAATATAATGTCTGCTTTCAGACGATGCCACTTAAATCGTGGTGCAATTGATTAGGAAATGGAAGCAGTAATAAGCATAAAGGAGTACGGACGGAAGAACCGACAGAGTAACAGAGCAAATGAATTCTGGTTTAAACCTACCCAACACATCTTCCACACGACGGAGATAAGCATTTAGTTGTCGTTCAATCTGCCGGGCCCATATGATGGAACCAGCGACAGGGGGAACATCACGAAGCTTCGTCATATGATACGCATTACTAGACAAGTATTGGGTCTTGAATTTCGAATGCAGTGCCTCTATGTCGTCTTTCACCCTCTGGATCAATTGAGTCTGGTACTCTCGGATTGCACCTCGAATGTGTGGGCGCACAAACAGTGCATTGAAACGTGAGAAGTACCGGAACATTTCATTCGCATTCTTAGCCGTTCCCAGAAGGTCCCGCAGCCGCGCAGTAATTCGAGTTTCAACGCGATCGATGCGCTCATCGTATCTAGATAAAAGAAAGAATTCGTTAGAAGGAAACCGGTTCTACGTTATTACTCACCGCTTAATTGCCGCCTCCCATGGGTCTGTGCCTTCTTTGCTGACATCCAAACAGTCCACTTCCTTCACGATCTCATATGCCAAGTTCACTTCCTCGATTGCATTGGCATCGGACGCATCGAGCAGTGGCTGGTCCTTTCCACCAGACTTTGCTGGATCGCCTAGAACGGCATCAGCCACCGCCTGATCACCAGGATGCTCACTTGATTCCTTGTCGCCTTGGGTAACTCGAGCGGGAAGAGGGCGCAGGACACGAACGATGACTTGTCGCAACTGTTCGTGTTGGTGACGGAATCTGTGTTAGAACGTAAAATGACTTCAGGTGAAAGACGACGTGATATATATGAATTGGGTATCATTAGTTAAATGTGAAGAGCTACATCCAAAGTTGCTGGCTTATGTGTTTGTCACAGATGTTTGCCACATCCTAATCTGTTGAGGGAGGAAAACTGAACACGGATAAGTTGATACACAGCTTGACCACATAAACAGGCAATTTAAACTTCGGAGGGGGGGCAGCAGTGGATCAAGTAAGACCTCGTAGGAGAGATGGGGTTTGTCACCGGGAAGAAGAGTAAACCGTACTTACCAAATTGATGCACTCAAATCTAATATGATCCAGAAGCAAACATCTAATGTTTTTTATTACACATTATTGTATGATGAACAGAAACGGCAAAACCCTTTAGTCATGAGGATCTGTCGTTCACTAATCGAAACCGGCGACCCCATAGCAGAACTTGGAACGGCNTAGCACAGATGTAGCGTTGATCCAGAGGACAACGAAGCTGCCACAGAAGTCGGGAAGTTTGAGTCTTGGACCCTTGAGAACAAAGCACACCGTTTATAGCTGCTTAAACCGCCCAAAAACCACTTCCCAGTATCTGAAACGCTCACAGGTAGAATATGCTATGGAGACAAATTCAAACACTAGTTTGGTACAGTTCAAACATTCTTCTTTAAAAAGGTCAACCAGTAATCAAGGAAAACAAACAGATCAACAAAATAATTTCTACGTGATGTTGATAGCCATTATCGCTGCTTTCTGGCTTAATGCTAGATTTATTCTACAAGAACCTAAGATGATCGACTACCCCAAATCACAGGGTATTTATATAGAACAAAAGTAGAACCACAGTGGGTGATGACTGAAACAAGCGACCACTTTGAGCAGTGACCTGAATGGACAGAAACAACGACTCAATTGGTTTCATCGCATAAACGAAATACGGATTGGTGAAAACTGGCTTACTTTCGCATTTGGTCTAAACGTATTTGTAAGTGACGATGAGCAGGATTGCTACGCCATACCATCCTCATTTGCTCTTCGCGTTTCTTTTTGATAATGTCACGCATCAATCCCTGAAGTCGATCATATTCATCGTCCCATGTAGCGAACACCTCAAAGCAAGACGCCATCACACGTTCGAATTCCTCGAAAGGCATGTGCATTAAACGACGAGTGCCCAACACCTGGACAGTGATATCGGATAGTACGTTACGATTGCAACATGGAGGTAGAATGGAATCAAGAAAACAAATGTACAAAAATCGAGAAAATCACTACGTGCGTGTAGTGAGAAGGGTTCGGAAAATCAGTCATGCTGATAATCATGAGATGGCTTTCAAATCTCACAACAAGCAATGATTAACTACAGCATATAACCAAAAACTCAACGGTAACACATGATAGGCTGAAAATGGAGAAATGTTGATTTGGAAATCATGCAGCAACAATAACCTCGTGTTCCAAAACGAGTTTCAAATGAAAATCGGAATATGGAACGCTACCATCGATTGAAACAGAAATGGCTCATGAAACTTAAATCGTTCTGAGGTATAAAGATCACAGACCAAAAGACATGCTCCACAAAAAAAACATTTCGTAATCAAAAAATGAGTTCTCATATGGCTACATCAAAAAATTTGCCCTAAATATTCCTAAATGTACAGGCTTTATCCAACGTAAAAATTTGAATTGTTTCACCTCACCTGCAACCGGTTATACAACCATTAACAGACAAAGGCATCAGATACACTGAAAGGGCGTATCAAAGCTACTGAGGACATTTGGGCCTTTCATGTGTGTGGTAACCATCTTCACCATTATTCACACCGTAACGGTTTGAATAAGAAACGGCTGAAATTAATTACAACTGCAGTATTTTACATGAGCTGTGACACAGATGTAAGGTAGAATTGTACTTTGTGCTTGTACGTTTGTCTGGACCACGAGGAATAAGAATGCAGTGGAATGGTATCGGCATAGCGCTGATGGCACGGCAGAAACTCATCTGTTTGACTGAATTCCACCTAACCTTGCCTCTAACCCACTGCTTTCTGCCAAAGAGGACATCGAATTGTTGGAATCAACGTTAAGTAAAACATCACCCCCTGCCTTAAGTAACCAAAGAAGCCGTGCTCATCTACTAATTGCGATGTTCTAAGAACGGATCTTGTGCATATTACTTGATTCAAAAAGTTCTATCTTTTTCTAAAACGGTTCTCTCCCACGATGAGACTGGCCAAACAGAGAAAAACATTCGAAATGGGGCTAGTTTTATTAAATTGGACTATAATAATCGTTTTATTGCTACCGTTTGCTCATTTCGGTGTCATTACACAGTTTGAAGCATGTCTATAAATCTAACATTCGTACTAACTATTCATATAAATGGATCCGGGAGGCTTAGACATTAGTTATTGTAGCGCTCTAATTGCACTTTACGTCGGACTCCGACGATTTTTGGATAAAAAAGAACAGAACAAAAAGAACTATTTATGTGGTGACAACCTACTGGATAATAAAGGCTACGCCACTAATACATCTGTCGTACAAGTTTCTCAGTCATGTTTTGGTGGTAGGCAACTCTTCTGTTTCTCAGTTTCCTGTCTTGTCTATCCAACCTAGATGAAGCAAATGAAGTCCAGGGGCTTATGCTGAGAGGTTTCACAACTGAGCAACACATTTTGATAATGAAACAATCTGATATAAAGCGGTCAAGCTACCCACAACAGGGAACAATGACTTGACTGCTGGGCGGAGCAGTGCAGCTAGCCTGGCGCAAGCCAAATTTCCTCATCTGTAACTGAAGCTCTGTGGGTGATGTCACGCAATCTTCAGGTAGAAGCAGAAGTTCGATCTTACGCTCAAGCTCTGATGCGGGGGAAAGCAGCAGGACAGGCCCCTACCCACTATTTGCAATATGGGGGTGATAACCTTGTAAGCTCTATTACTAAATTCCTGGGCAATATTTGGTAGCAAAAGCGCAGCCCTACATCATGGGATGATTCAGTGGTGGATTCCATCATATTGTGACGTCTGACTCATTTATGAGAATAACGACCGTGAACAGCAAGCCGGCCTGATTGTGGATGTATTCATTTAATTTTTACGTTGCTTCAGGTACCTGAGTTGCGTCACATCCATCGCCGACCAACAATTGCGGTGTTCCTTGACTGGAGAAAAGCCTTCGACCTCGTTGACCGCGAAGATCTAATGATTTCCCTTCATTGAGAAGTAATGACCCAGAAACATAAACACACTGACGTCACTGTACTCAGAGCTCTGGTGGAGTGAGGGTCTTTAAGGAACTAAGTAAATCGTTCGTCGCCAACAGCAGCGTTTATCAAGGAGGCCCTGTTCCGCCTTTCCTGTTTAACTTCGTCTATGACGAAGTGCCGGAGAACACACTAAGAGGTCTCCCAAATGTAGTTATTGAATGGACTGCTGGAAAAAAGATGGGCGATCAAGTCTTGTCCATTCGAATGAACGGAGAACGAGCAAAGCTCCATCATCATTGTACAGCGTAATACAGGGAAGCGAACTTCACCGATCGCTGCTAAACTCATAATGCATACAAGGTAAGTGAGAAAGTGCAAGGAGGATAGGGCCTATTTTTAGGGAGGGGAAAGGTGAACCTCTATGGTCAGCAGAGTACAAAACAACTGTTCATACACACTATTTCAAGCACTCTGATCAGATAAGTAAGACAAATGTCGCGAGATGTTAACGTTTCGTTTGGTCTTCTCAATCACTGACTTAAAACAAACAGGCACATACACAACACATGGGGTTGTTTAGTTATGGTGAATGAACGTGCATAAGCATATAAAGATTTCCAGATATAGCAGTAGAAGGTCAACTCCACGGTCCTATTTTGGCAGATGTGTTCCTAGGAATGATTGCGAAAAAACTGAGTGATAATATTTCCAAGTCCACCTTGTAGAAACGCTACGTAGAAGACAATTTTATTCTTACAGATGATGAATATCTTCAAACATTTATAACAATTTAACTCAGTCCATCCACACTCCTCTGCATCTGACGAAATAGAAACTAACAATGGTCTATCTAAACATGAAAGTTAGGAGCGAATAAATGGAAAACTACAAGGCTCAGTTTACCGAAAAGCTTTTCCCCATTGGCCTACAAACGTAGCTTGTGAGAACCTTATTTCATCGGGCGAGAGACATTTGTTCTCCTGATGCACTAAAGGAAGAAGAGGATTCCCTAAGGAGAACCTTGCTAAACAATGGCTACCCAGAAAGATTTGTAGACATTCACAGATATATTATTATATTTCACACTCATCCGAGGCCAGACTGTGTGCCAAACAAATCGTGGTACAATAATCTTTATAAAAGAAAGACGTTCCACGAGTTGCATGTAGGCCGATTACTGCCAGGTTGCCCAGGCCAAGGCAGGTGAATTTTCTTAAGGAACCCACAACCGGAGCCTTGGACTAACCAAAGCCTGACCCCTCCAAAAGCCTCAGTATGGTCTGGGGTGGGTGTCCAGGGTTTCGGCTGGCCATCCTTCCCTTGCACCTCACGAAATGCTCCCATACAACCAAGAGTCTCAAACAGCCTCTGCTGAAGAAGTCCTACTCATTGCCTTCTCGCGGCGGTGTTTTCCAACCAAAGTGAGAGGACAAAAAGCCGACATCCAGGGCTATAACCGGGTTGGTGGACCAATGGTAGTTCACTTAGGGAAGTTGGCCAAAACCCTGATTCCAAACCAACCAAGAGGCGTACGAACCACACCTCCAACTTTCCGGTTGTGGCAGTGGTCACCGGCTCGATTGGGTCTTGAGGTGTATTGGGCACCTCGGACGTTTGACCCCGTCCAAAGGGCGTATGATCCGATGAACTGGACACCGACTCCCCATGGACTCAGGTTTTCACACCGCCTCGCTGCCTTTTTTTTATTACACACCTAGGTGTGATGAACAGCAGACGGGGTAAACCCCATAGTCACGAAGACCTGCTGTTCAGTGGTTGAAATCGGCAACCTAAGCCCCGGAACTTGGAGTGGCGAACCACATAAGGCCCCGATAGGCTAGGTGTGGTATTGAACCGGACGACAGCAGAGCTGCCTACCACCAAAGTCGGGTTGCGGTGGTGGGGCTCGAACCTCGGACCATAGGGTCCAAAGCACGCCGGTGACAGCGGGTCAGCTTTGGCTAACTGAAGGCTCCAGTTGTGGATTCCTTAAGAAAATGCAACTGATTGGGCAACCTGGCAGTATTCAGCCCACAAGCCAATCATGGAACGTTTTTCTTTTTTATAAAGATTCTTGTACCATGATTTGCTTGGCACACAGTCTGTCCTCAGACAAGTGTGAAATATAATAATTACGTTATTGCAAAGCTAAACTTTTGGCAATTACTGAAGCGCTGTTTATTCTATTACATTACTGACTCTATACGAACAAAAGGTTTTGGTACAAACAATCCACTTGCCGTCGTGTTGATCTCCTACTTCAATATTTAGTGATCTTTGTGTTCTTGTACACGTTCAATCACCAGAACTAAACAACACCGTGTGCTATATATGTGCCTATTTGTTCCAACTCAGTGATTGAGAAGATTAAACGAAATGTTATCATCTCGAGACATTTGTCTTCTTCCGTATTGATAAAATGGCAAAAACGGACTCAATGCTTCAAACTGACAAGAATTGACGGCAAGATCGCCACTACTGTTGATTTGTTGTCATGACCTTCAGTGTCTCCAACCATCCAGT